CCCCTTTTTCCCTACTGAAAAAATATAAAATGAATGTATCAACAAAGGAGGTTAAATGGAGTTAAACTCTCCAAGTAACCTACCCTAAAATCAATATACAATCACTAATTAAAAGCAAGTAAAGTGCCTCACAAATACAAAGGCAAAATTAGACCTATACAAAGGAACTATGTACAAAATATATGAAAAAGGTCTTTAAGATCATCCCATTCCTCTTGGTTCTTTTAAGATATCACCTCTTGGATTCCTTGGCCTTGGCCATAGTCTATCATCCCCTCCCTCTTGAAAAGGATTTGACCTCAAATCTCGAGGGTCTTCATGATTATTGGCCATACCTACAAATATATAATAAAATTCATTAGAGGTGATATTTTCAACAAATAAATGTGAAAGGTATATCCTAGAAGGAATCCTTTCATGGAACCTAAAGAAATCTATGATACTAGACCTTCTAATATAATGAATAGGATCCTCTCCTAAACATAGACTAGGTATATTACTAAATCCTAAAAATGTGCTAAAACTAAAACTATAGCACACTAAAGACTTAATCCTAAAAACTAAAACATCTTGCCTAAAGTACCCTATGTGGTAACCTAGGCATTTCCTAGAAAATAAGGAAAATACTACTAAGAAATTTCCTAAACAATTTTGGATTATATTATTTGTTGGATAGTTATGAAAAGAATTTGTCACAAGGAACCTTGAAGGTTCATATGTTATATCCAACAAATAATATATTCCATAAATTGGGTGCATTATTGAAACAACTAAGGTAGGAAAAGTCCTACACAAAGGAAGGCTATCTACCTTGGGCACCACCAAGGAAGTAGCATGAGAAGTGGAACTAAGTGAAGTCCACTTCTCCTTCACCAAATCTTGAAGTTGAGACTCTTTTTCTTTAAAAATAATGGATTTATGAATCTCCTCTTCAAGACTAGTGGCAGAATGAGGGCAAGAGTTAAGATCTTTATGAATAAAGAGAATTTTTTTCATAGGATTTTTAGTACTAAAACAATTCTCTTTAGTCACAAATCCTTTAGAGGATATTTCTTCCTCTTTACTCTTCCCTGCACAAAGTTCTTTCTTTTTTTCTATTTCTTCTTTTCTTTTGATTTTCATTTGTCTTCTTCTTTTGTGTTTTCTCATGTCTTCTTTCAATTTTTCTTCTTCTTGTTTAAGAATTCTCAACTTCTCATCTAGGATAGCAAGTTTGGCCTCTCTTTCAATTTTCTCCTTCTCTTTTTGAAAGGCCTCTTGCTTCTTCCATAGTTTAAGTGATTTTAGCTCTTTTGTTAAGTAAGAAATGCTTTTAGGAGAGCTATCACTTCCACTATAGTTGGATTGTTGAGACATTTTAAACAACAAGATTTTTCTCTTCACACAAAAATAGATTTTAAGAAAATAATATTTTTGGAAGTGCTAGACTTGGCACTTGGAGGTCTAAGAGTACAAATTGAACTTTGGAGGGAGGTGAGCTACTATAGAGCCACTTAATAACCAAGCCTCTTCAAGTAAAAATCTCTAAACCCCCTTGTACGTTGCCTTGCACAAAATGTTTTCACAAAGTTCTTTTCAAAAGAAAAATAACAAGCAAGTGCCTAAAGTGTACAATTATACAATGCTTGAAAACATAAATGACAAGAAAACATAAATTGCTTGAAAACTTAAATTGCTGAAAACATAAATTGCTTAAAACATAAATGGCATGAAAACTTAAAGACAAGAAAACATAAACTAGGCGTTGAAAGCAATTAAACCTAGGTGAGAGCTTGGAAAGCACCAAAGACCTCCAAGGACCCTCTCACAAGTACTAAACGAAATTACTATTTAGAACACTTAAGAAGAGATGGAGATACACCAAAGGCACTCCAAGACACTCCCTAATAAAGGCCTTGTACAAAAATGAGAATTAAAAAATTACAAGAAAAATGAAATGCAAATTTACTTCAAATGAAATGCAAATTTACTTCAAATGAAATGCAAATTCACACTCCAAATGAAATATAAATTCACACCAAATGAAATGTAAATTCACATCATTATGGTCTGAGAAGCCATGTTTTTGCCCTTACACCAAATAATCTCTTTTGCCCTCCCTCTCTAAACCAAAACAAAAATACATGAGAGAAGTTGCTACTTAAGCTCAAACTAAAAATGAGAAGCCTGCAGATTCAATAATTCTATCAACATATAGGTATTTTATCTAGATTAAGGTTTGGTTTAATATATAGGTGAACAAAGAATATTTTTCCCTTTTCCTTTGCTGCTTCTAATGCGTGCAAAGATTGTTGTGATTGACAGGGGAAGTTGTGGCATGCAGAAGTAGGTAAAGGTACTGTAAATATGAGGGATTTACAAAGCACTGATACAGCTCATGACTTTTTATGGATAGACAAGGAGTTGGTTGATATGATTCGCTACTTTGATAGTGCACTATTTAGAGACGGATTTTGTGAGGAAAATAGGTTTAGAAACAAAAATTTCTGTCACTAAAATTGGTCTCTAAAGTTCACAAATTTTTTTATTTAAATTTGTTGCTCTTTCTCTTCCAATTCCAGCCACCGAGCATGCAGCCCTCACTATTGTTTCACTCTTCTTGCAACCTTGACCTTGGTTACTTCTAGGTGTTTCCAAGAGACCTTCCACCAAGAGAGAACAAGCTCCCTAAGCAACCACCAAAGTCTTCAAGGTTGACTTCCTTTGACTTGGCCTCCTACACCTTTTAAGAAGCACTCAACCACCTTCAATTGCTGAAATATTAGTGCTAAAACTGAAAAGGCACAATTTAGAATAGCTACACCAATTGGTGGAATGTAATGAGACAAACTAGAAGGAGTTCCAAAAATTGACAAGCAAGAAATTAAGGCAAATTTAGAAAGCTAGCACACAAAGGATAACCTATCAAAGGCACTAGAATGGATTACAAAAACAAAGCTAAGATTAGAACCAAAATTAAGACACAAAATATGTGGCTGGACTGAAAATTTTATAGGCAAAAACTTCACCAAAACCGAGAGCTAGTTACACAAATTTTTCACTCCTTTTGGCTTTTTCTTTTGCTATTTTCTTTCTTTTTTTTTGCAAAATATTTTTTCACTTATTTTAATTTTAATAATTAGGAGTTTAAATGCCTTTTGAACAATTATAGGTCTCGTCTTAGGCTAGAAAAAACTGCTACCAAAATATTTTCACAAAACAAGAGGTGTTCACATGCATATTCTAACTAGTGCTTCCAATTTTGTAGTATTTTTAGGTCAAAGCACTATTTTCTTTTGTTTTTATCATGCATTAAGAACACATACACCTCTGTTTTGTCTCTGTTTTAATGTTTTAAAAATTGCAATAGGTTTCAGCCACACACAAGACTCAAGGAAACCTAATAGGAAATAGTGTTTAACAATTTTTTTGACAAAACTTTTAACAAGACATAATAGAAACCTAACTCTAGGAAATTTTCTAGAACTAATAGCAAATTATGAACTCAAACATGTAAAACAAAAGCACATATAGGTAAGGTTCAGATTTAATAATAAAATTGACGCACCACACAATGCTTGAAAAACAACACAAAAATTAGGTCAAACAAGCTAGTCTAGGATTTATCAACATGTAAAAGGACTACACATAACTTCTATGACAAAACAATTGATTCAAAAACAAAAACAAAAAATTTGAAATGTTATTTAGAATAATTTTTAGCATATGCAGCACTACATAACTTTCTTCGTAAAGAATGTCATTGATCTAATGAATTTCCAATTGGAGTGGTGGATGAACCTTCATCTTTAACATTATCGATTAATGAAAATCATAATTTTGAGTCTATTATTAAAACTCAGGAGCAAGAACGAAAAGATGTTAATGCTTGGACGACTAGTATATATATTGATATGTGGGTGAATACTATTTAGAAGGACATGATATTACAAAGAATTACTATTAGTATTTATCTAGATATTATTTTTTATTATTATTTTTGTCTTTGACTCTTTTTAAATTTGAATGTATGAAAAAAAATCTTGCACTCTTATCATATGTCAAAAATCTACGAATTTTTGCAAGGCTCACAAAGTCTCGAAGAATTTATTAAAATCCTAACTAAAAAGTCTTACAGAATCCATTAAAATCCTGATTGAAAATCTTACAGAATCCTACAAAATCTTAATGTGAGACCCTCTACCCCAACATACATATATAATAATTATAAAAAAATCTTCTTAGGTTAAATAAAATCTTTAGAATTAAAGCAATGGTTCCACTAACATAAGAGTAGAGATTTCACATTCGTAAACTTAAATCATGGTCAAATGCGAAATTTATAAGAAAATAAAACATGAGTTTTTCCAAAACAAAATAACAATAATGAAATCCTAAACTAAGCCTAGCCACGCCCCGATGTCACATATCCTATCAGAGCACGCCCAATTGAAGCCTAAGCCTCATCACCAACATCCTCATGTTGATGATCACCTGCAACACAATAAAATACACATAGAACAACAAAGGAGTGAGAAATATCTCACTTAGGTTCAGGTGCAGAAATAAAGGTTAGACAACACACACACACAACAAACATAATACAAGTCACAAGCACAAATCACATGTAAACAATACACATACTCAATCAGTATTACATGCACACTTATTTATCATGCAATGATTTCATGGACTCGACTCATCCACCCCTTTTTCCTACTGAAAAAATATAAAATGAATTTATCAAAAAAGGAGGTTAAATGGAGTCTAAGTTCCCAAGTAACCTACCCTAGAAACATTATACAATGACTAATAAAATGCAATAAAGTGCCTCTCAAATACAAAGGCAAAATAAGCCTATACAAAGAGACTACTATATGTACAAACATATGAAAAGGTCTTTAAGATCATCCCATTCCTCTTGGTTCTTTTAAGATATCACCTCTTGGATTCCTTGGCCTTGGCCATAGTCTATCAGCTTATGTGTTTGGCTTTTGTGCTTGCAGGTATAATGGGGAGAAGAAAGTGGCGCGAGCTGAAAACCCGCTACAATGTGGCCGAGATCGAGGTTCCCAAGCTCAGCGAAGAGGAGGTTGCTCCCCTTGATACTCGCAGAAAAAGAAAGAGGGGAGAGAAGAAGGTCGGGGAGACCTCAGCCCCTCATGATTCTGAAGAGCTGACCTCGAAGGCCGCCGATGCCGTCCCGGTCGGCCTGACAGGGAGTCCTCCGTGTGAAGGGTCGTCTAGAGTGGCCGTGGAGGAGGTCGCTCGTGAGACACAGGTTTGTGTCTTTCTTCTTATTGTTTTTCTTTCATACTGTGTGATTTCCTTGTTTTATAACTTAGGAAATTTTTCGTGTTGTGTGTAGGCGGGGCATGTGCCGACTTCCACCGTGGCGCGGGTGGAGCCGAGCTTAGAGGCACCAGGGCCAAATGCCTCAGCTGCTGCACAAGTGGCGCCCACTTCAACTCCCGCCGAGGCCCGCAGAGAGGGGCTGAGCTCTGGGGCACCGACGTCAACCCCTGCAACTGCTGTACTGCCTCCACCTCCGCCAGGGGCTCCAAAGGGGAATTGCATCATACAGCGCTTCGATGTTACTCGCCCCTTGGCGAGGCTAGACCATCTGAGCATGTCATCAAACATGGACTCGATGTGGAGTTTGGGGATGACTGTCGAGGCCTTCTACCCGTGAGGCTCACTCCGTCGGCTGACAAGGCGATTATCGAGAAGGTCGGGCTAGTGGAAGGCCTAGACTCTGCGGAGGTCTTCATGCAGAGATCGATCACCATCGTGGACCATTGGAAGCGCAAGTGGTCGAAGCTGCAAGGGGAGCTCGAGAGTGCTAGAAGCCGAGTTCAGCCCCTAGAAGAGGAGAACCAGGCTTTGGGGGCTGCTCTAGGCGAGGCCGTGAAGAAGAACGAGGCTGAGCTTCAAGCTGCAAAGAGGGATCTCGCAAGGACTCAGAAGTCTTTGGAGATTGCTTTGAGGGCTAACGAGGTCTACGCTGCCCAAGTCGGCGAGCTTCAGGAGGTCGCCAATTCTTCTCGGGGTCGAGTGCGCTCTCTTGAAGACAAGGTCTCGGCGTTGAAGGTTGAATTGGCGGAAGCAGTCGAGAGGCGTCTCTGTGACGAGGTGCTTCTTGGTGGTAAGGAAGAGGAGGTCGTAGCTCTGAGGGTAGACCTTGATAAGATGACCGCGGCTAAGGCAGGGCTAGAGAGGAAGCTCGTCGAGACTAAGCGAGCTGTCTTAGTGGATCACAAGAGGGGCTTTGTCAAGGAAGCTCGTCAGGCGAGGTTGCTTGCACCTGGGGTCGACCTTTCTACTATGCATGTAGAGAAAGAGGTGCAAGCTGGGTGGCTGGTGAAGGAAGACGACCTCCCTGATAGCTCGAGCGAGAATACCACTGCCTAGGCCACTATTTTGTAATAACTTAGTTTATTTAGTTCTTTTTTCTTGCTTTCTGAACTCATGCTTTGTATTGATGAACTTGTTGTGTATATAATTTACTTTTCTTATTTGTGGTTTTTGTCTCTCTCTTTTGATGATTCTCGTTTTGACAAGGTTTAAATTTGACCTTCGACTTTAGTCTAGGAATTGATTCTGGGATTTTGGGCTTAGTCATGACCTGCTTTTGAGTTTAGAAACATGTCCAGTATTTTGCGCTTTGAGGCTCAAACTTGGCTTGTGAAGGTTCAATCTTGACCTTTGTTTTTTATTTTGGGTCGCGTCAAGTTTCGAACTCGACCTTGGCTTAGAATGACATGATTTGCGCCGAGGTTCGAATTCGACCTTGGCTTAGTGTAATGTAATTCGTACCAAGGTTCGAATTCAACCTTGTCTTAGCATAATATAATTCGCACTGAGGTTCAAACTCGACCTTGGCTTAGTGTAATGTGATTCGTACCAAGGTTCGAATTCGACCTTGGCTTAGCATGATATAATTCGCACTGAGGTTCGAACTCGACCTTGGCTTAGCGTAATGTGATTCATATCAAGGTTCGAATTTGACCTTGGCTTAGCATGGTATAATTCGTACCAAGGTTCGAATTCGACCTTGGTTTAAAAGAATATAATTTGTGCCAAAGTGGTGTAAAATTGAGAAGTTATGAGTGGAATGGGTCATTTTATTAATGTCGTTGGTATGCCTCGTTAAAAACCCTCTCAGCCAAAACCCATTTTTTTATTTTTTGGGACAAAAACTGAGTCGGGAAAAGAGTGCACAACCCATTTGTACAATTTAACTAAAGTAAAACTTGAGATGCGTGGCATTCCAAGTTCGTGGGATGGTTTTGCCGCTGAGCTCTTCTAGTCGCTATGCCCCATTTTCTAGGTCTTCTGTAACTCGAAATGGGTCATCCCAATTAGGCGCGAGTTTTCCTTCTGATGAGTCTCTTCGTGCTTTGCCTAGTAGTCGCCACACTAGGTCGCCAACCCGGAAAGAGCGAGGTTAGACTCGCTTATTGTACCTTCTAGAGGCTTGAAGCTTGCAGGCTTCCTCATTGATGGAACTAGGTGAGGAGATTGATGTTCCTTCACTTTGCTCCATGCTTAGGACCGTGAACTCTTGAGGTTGATCTTTGGAAGAAGCTTGAAGCTCCATGAAGAGGTCTTCAATGGAGGAGAAGCCTCAAGGTGGTTCGATTACTCGTTGCTTAGTGTAGAAGCTTGAGGAACCAATGGTTAAGGTTGAAGAACCTTGGTGAAAACTTAGAGAGAATTCTCCACGGTTTTAGAATGGACTCTTGATGAGAGAAATCTGATTATTATTTCTCAATTTGCTCAAAAGTGACTACATAGGAGGTATTTACAAATATATAGAGAAAAGGTAGCTTCTAGGAGAAGCTAACCTTAACCATGGTTCACTAGGAACCATGGTAAGGTTTACTTAACTCCCTACGGTTTAGCAAGCTTACAAGGGAAGCTAACCTTGACCATGGTTCACTTAAGAACCATGGTAAGGTAAGCTTACCTTACTTGAGTTTAGAAGCTTGCAAGGCAAGCTTCAAAACTCAAGAAGAACAACTAGAAAAAGCTTCAAAACTCAAGAAGAACAGCTAAAAAATTCGGCCAAAGAGACTTAAGAGAGCTAGGCGGCCTTGAACACATTTTGCTCCTTGAATTAATTTGAAAAACCTTGATTTGGTTTAGTTAGGTTCATCATATGATGATGAGACCTAGCTAAATCAAATCTATGAAAAAATAGGAGCAAAATGAGTCCAATATGCAAAATTTAGCCTAGCCCCAACTCAGGCCCAATTTCTAGTCACACCTCAAGCATTGCTAAATGTCACCCCTTTTTCCCTACTAAAAAAATATAAAATGAATGTATCATCTAGGGAGGTTAAATGGAGTTAAACTCTCCAAGTAACCTACCTTAAAAACAATATACAATCACTATGAAAAAGCAAATAAAGTGCCTCACAATACAAAGGCAAAAATAACCTATACAAAAGACTATGCATGAACTGTACAATATAAACAAGTAGAACTAAGGCCTTCTCTTCATGATAGAGCATTCCAAGTGAAGATTACCTTGGGCCTAACAAGCCCATTAGTCTTCTCAAGATCTAGCTCTTCCTGTATCCTCCTAGCCATAGCTCTGGTCACTAGGCCCTTGGCCCATGGTCTATCACTCATGGATCCGAGCTTCCTCTCGGAGTTCGTCAATCAGGTCGAGCTTGGCTGCCATTTCTTGAGAGTTTTGCTCGCTGTCGAAGGTAAGACGCCGATAAGACATCTCTCTGACCTCCACTGGGATCATAGCATCTGCTCTGTAGGTCAGCCTGTAAGGCGTTTCCTACGTTGTTGATTGGGGGGTACAGTGGTATGCCCAGAGAATGCTAGGGAGCTCGTTGACCCATTGTCCTTTGGCGCTTCCTAGCCGCTTCTTGAGCTCTCGAAGTATTACTTTGTTCGCGGCTTCGGCTTGTCCATTGGTTTGGGGATGTTCCACCGAGGTTGGAAGGTGCTTGATTACGAGCTCTCGAAGGAAGTCTTCGAAATTATGTGCGATGAACTGTCTGCCGTTATCGGTGACGAGAGAATGCGGGATGCCAAACCTGCAAATGATGCTCTTCCAGGTGAATTTCTGGACATTCTCGACCATGATCTTGGCAAGTGGGCATGCGTCCATCCACTTGGTGAAGTAGTCGATGGCCACTAGGAGGAATTTGAGTTGATCCTTCGCTAGGGGAAATGGTCCGAGGATGTCCATTCCCCACTAGGCGAAAGGCCACAATGACATCATCTGGTGGAGAACTTTAGGTGGTTGTCGATGTGCTTTGCCAAACTGCTGACATTCCTTGCACCTTTGTATGTAAGCTTGGCAATCCGACTTCAGTCTAGGCTAGTAGTACCCAGCCCAGAGTACCCTTGTCGCCATCGAGCGGGCCCTAGAGTGCATCCCACAGATCCCTCGGTGGATCTCTTCAATGACATAGGTAGCCCGGGATTCTTCTAATCATTTCAATAGTGGGGTGGAGATGCCGCGTTTGAGCAGTTCATCTCCGACGATGACGAACTTAGCTGACCTTACCCTCATCTTCCGAGCTTCCTCTTTATCCTCGGGTAGGGTTCCCTCCTTTAAGTAGTTCCAAATGCCCGTCATCCATCCTTGGTCTTCACCGTCACTAGTGTTGACGAATTTTTTGTCTAGACTGGATGAGTTTAGGGTCTCTTGGATGATGGTCCGATGTTGTTTGAGGCATTTCATACTGGCGAGTTTGGACAGGAGGTCGGCTCTGGCGTTCTGCTCTCGAGGCACATGGTGTATAGTGAATTCATCGAAGGATGAGATTAGTTGGGATGTTATATGAAAGTACCTCTGTAGTAGGGTATCTTTGGTCTGGTATGCCCCAATAAGCTGTTCTACCATAAGTTTTGAGTCATTGTTGCAACTCACCCGTTGTGCTCCGAGGTCACGCGCCAATCTCAATCTTGTAAGTAATGCTTCGTACTCTGCTTGATTATTGGTGACTTTGAAGCCGAATTTGAGAGATTGCTCTAAAGTGACTTTATTTGGTCCCTCCAAAATGATACATGCACCACCGCCTTTAGAATTGGAGGATCCATCAACGTGTAAAGTCCATACCTGTTGCTCTTCAGCCTAGGTTGGGGTGAGCTCAGCCACAAAATCTGCTAGGCACTGAGATTTCAATGGGCCTCGGCTTTCGTATTGGATGCCGAACTTGAATAGCTCCATTGACCATGCTATCATACGCCCCGCGAGCTCCGGCTTTCTCAAGATCTGCTTGATTGGGTAGTCGATTTTGACTACCACCTGGTGACTCTAGAAATAAGGTCGGAGGTGCCGAGTTGCGGTGACGAGTGCTAGTGCAAGCTTCTCGATCGTCTGATATCATTTTTCCGTGTCTTGAAGGACTCGGCTGATGAAGTAAATGGGTGTTTGTACCTTTTGGTGTTCTTGCACTATGACTACACTGATCGCGCCCTCTACCACGACCAGGTAAAGGAGTAGGTCGGCGTGATGATCCGGCCTCTGAAGGATTGGTGGAGTTGAGAGGAAAACTTTGAAGCTTTTGAAAGCTTCTTCGCATTGCTCGGTCCACTCAAAGTTCTTGGGTTTCCGCAGCAAGGTGAAGATGGGTCCTGCTTTCTTTGCCAACCTGGGGGTGAAACGGAAGAGAGAGACTAACTGTCCTGCCAAGCGTTAGACGTCCTTGATAGTCTAGGGACTCTGCATCTGGATAATAGCTTTTCACTTCTTCGGGTTGGCTTCAATACCCCAGCTGGTGATCATAAAACCCAGAAATCGACCTCCCTGGACACCGAAAACACACTTCTTTGGGTTGAGGCGCATGTTCTCCTTTCTGATTTGGCTGAACACCTCGGCCAAGTCGGCGGCATAATCCTTGGCTGAGGTGGTCTTGACGACCATGTCATCGACGTAGACTTCCATGTTTCGACCAATCTGTTGGTGAAAAACTTTGTCCATCAGCCTTTGATAAGTAGTTCCTGCGTTCTTGAGGCCGAATGGCATCACACAGTAGTAGAAATTTGCGTGGTTGGTGATGAAGGCTGTGTGCTCTTCGTCTGGTGGGTACATCATGATCTAGTTGTATCCCGAGTATGCGTCAAGGAAGTTGAGGAGAGCATGGCCGGAAGTGCCGTCAACCAACCTGTCGATGCTTGGTAAGGGGTATGAGTCTTTGGGATACGCCTTATTGAGGTCGATGTAGTCGACGCACATGCGCCACTTCCCTGAGCTCTTCTTGACCAGTACCACGTTCGCCAGCCATGTGGTGTATCTGACTTCGCGGATGAAGCCCGTGTTCATCAACTTCCATGTCTCAGCGACGATGGCGTCACGCCATTCTCCTCTAACTTTCCTCTTTCTATGAGTGATCGGCTTAGCTTCCTTGTGGATGGCTAACCTGTGACAGATGAGGTTAGGGTCAATACCTGGCAAGTCTACGCTTGACCAGCGAAGAGGTTGGTATTTTTGGAGATCTCCTCAATGAGCCGTTGTCGCAGCTCTGGGTTTAACTGCCGACTTATCTTTGTACACTGTCCGGGGAGTTTACCAACTTGAAGGTCGTCAAGCTCATCGATGGGACTTGGCCGTTTTTCGTGGGATTCCGACCTTGGGTCCAGGTCAGCAATGTCAACCTAGGCGATGTGAGCCACCGTAGAGGGGTCTCCTTTGTGGCGTTCCTCAGATGGCGAGACCTTCAAGCTTTCAACATAGCATTGCCGAGCTATCTTTTGGTTTGCTCTGACGGAGATGATCTTGCCATTGCTCCCTGAGAATTTCATCGTCAGGTGCGGGGTAGATACCACAGCTCTGAGTTGGTTCAACATCGGCCTTCCGATGATTATATTGTAGGATGTGTTGGCTTCAACGAGGAGGTATCTGACCATGATTCTCCTTGAGTCAGGAAGGGTCCCGAAGGTTATCAACAGATCCACGTACCCTCGAGTGTGAACTCGCTCTCCGGCAAAATCGACTAGGGGTTTTGTGTGAGGTTGGATAAGGGAGTGAGGAATGTCTAACCTTAGGAATGTCGGCCAGTATAGGATGTCAGCCGAGATTCCTTGGTCAATCAATGTCTTGTGGACTTCCCAATTAGCGACTTCCACTGCGATGACTATGGGATCATCCTAGTTTGGACAGATGCTAGTGTAGTCGTCGTCCGTGAAGGTGATGGGTGGTGTGTTGTGGTGCGGGGCCGAGGTGGAAATATGGACATTGTTGATGCTCCACAAGTGCCTTTTGCGTGCCGAGCTACTAGAGCCTCCCCCTGCAAAGCCACCTGCAATTGTATTGATAACTCCTCGCAAGGGAGCCGATCCTATATCCTGACTTACCTCGGCCTGCACTACTTCGCCCGTGTTTTGCTGGGAGCCAGAGGTTTGGTCTGTTCGAGTCCCAAAACCTCGGCCACATCCTCGTCCTCGCCCATGGTTGCCTCCTCTGTTAGATTGCTGCCGTTGGACGTATTGTCCGAGGTGTCCTCCTTGGATGAGTTCCTCGATGCAGTCTCTAAGCGTGCGGCACTCCTCGGTTGTGTGACCATAGTTTTTGTGGTACCGACAATGCTTGGATTTGTCCACACTGTTGGGACTATGTTCAGGTGGTGGCAAAGTGAGCAGATTGGTGTTACTAGCCTCTTCCAGGATGTGTACTCGGGGCGCATTTAGGCAGGTGTAGAAGTCATACCTCCCTCCTTTGTTTGCCCTAACAGCCTTCTTGAATTGGCTATCATTAGTGACTTTCACCTTATCTTTGTGGTCGTGGTCCGGCTTCGCTTGAGATTTTACACGAACCTGGTCACGAAAAGTGGTGTGCTCTTCTATCTGAATGTACCCTGTAGCTCGAGCACGGAGTTCGTCCATATCTGGGGGAGATCGACGACACAGGCTATCGACGAAAGGTCCTGGCTTGAGCGCCATGAGCATGGCATGAAGGGAGACCTCGGGGTTTAGGTTGCGGATCTTAACCAAGACGCTAGCAAAGCGTTCCATAAACGCCCTCAGTGGCTCGTCGTCGCCCTGTCTGAGGCTGGCCAGGGCGGTGGATGTGATGTAATGAGGCTGACTCGTTGTGTACTGCGTCGTGAATCGCCTTACCAGAGTGTCAAAGTTATCGACTGACCCTGGCGGCAACTAGGTGTACCAGGCGAGTGCTTCTCCCTTGAGCGAGGTCGGAAAAACCCTACACAGGATAACATCATCGTTAGTGTATAGGTTTACTTGGGTGACGTACAGGTCGACATGCTCATCTGGGTCGGTGGTGTCATCGTAACGGTCAATGTTGAGGGGCTTCCATCCAAAAGGGAGGGGCGTCTCCATGATTCCATCAACAAAAGGTTGGCGGTGGATGCTCGCCCTATGTCTTGGAGCCTGGGCAAGAGCATTGCTGATGTCATGGCCTGACCTAATCGTCGGTACGTGCGACCGATGAATAGTAGACCTGTGGGTCGCCGCCCTGGGTGTAGCCAGTGGCTGGGAAACTGAGTGCCCCTCTTCCTCGTCTTGATTACTCGGTTGAGGGGGTTGATCAGAAGGGCGCCGAGGAAGCTGGGCGCGAATGCGCTCACTCTCAACGCGCAGTGTCGCTAGGTCGGCTTCGTGCCTGGCACGGATGTTTTCCAGGTCGATGGCGTGTTGTTGCCACATTTGATCGACCTGCTCGATCAGTCTCCTTAATGCTGCTTTACCTTCCATTCTTGTTGCGCGATCTAGGTTGTTTTTTACTCGTCTACTATGGCTTCGGGTGAAAACCATAAGCGTGGCCGATAAGAGATGTCTCGATCGGCCCCACGGTGGGCGCCAAATGTTCTTACCTGAGATCGGTCGTAGGGGACGATCTGCTGGGCAAGATTGGTGAGCCTCCTTCGCTAGGTACGCTTGCTATTCCAAAGTAGGGGTGGTACCTGCAAAAGAGACTCCGATGGTAAAGTTAGTGTTTGTGGGTGTATGGATCTCGTATAAGTAATGCGCGTACCTCTGTGTGAATTAGGGTTTATATGGGCCTTGGGCCTGAGATCGGTTATGACCTGTTCAGATAGTGGGCCTTTGACTTGACTGATGTCATGCAATACGTGTTCGATGTTAATCTTTGTCGTAAGCCGAGCTTGAACTCGACTTAACAGTACGGACAGTACAAAATATATATATATATATATATATATATATATATATTTATAAACTATTTTTTCAGTAAATTAAAAGTTTACTTTAAGACAACACAATCTTATATTAAAATGTCTAGAATTCAAATTCTAATTTTAAATATAAATTATATTATGTTAGGAAGAGAATACTTATCTTATATAAATTTACCGTTTTTAAAAAAATTAATCATCATTTTTCATGATAAATTTTTCATATCAATATTATGGTTATCAAAAATAAAGAAAGTAACACATAATCGTATGATCTTAAATGTCTTAAAAAATATTCAATGGAATTACGAATGTTTTATATCCTATTCTAATATAAGCCTGCATGCAAAAATATAAAATACATTGGAGAAATTGGATTCGATCATAAATTATAAATAATAAAAATAAAGAAAGTGAACTCATTATACAACTTTACTATATAAAAAAAATAATTGGTATGAATAAAAAAAACTCCTGAATGAAACTTTCAATAATAATCAATGATCACACATAAAAAAATAAATAAATAAAAGTTGCAGTAGTCGATCTCATTTGAAACTCTCATTCTAGACATAAAAGGTGATTATATAGGCTCTGTCAGCAACTCGTTTTTTCATATTATTATCTTTGCATTGGTTTTGTTACGTTACGGCTGTATTCTTGGAATTATATACCTCACTGTATCCGGAATCTAGTGAATATCGATCCTTTTTTTTTTGTCGTTTCTCGTAATTCATGGGTTGATACATTAGACTAACCATCTTAAACGCCTTAGAAAGCAAATCCAACAAAGCGTGCACACATTGAAGACAGGACGAACTCAAATCAACACTAATAAAATGCCACACCATTTTATTTTCTATAGTAGGAGCCTAATAATGTCAATAATCATGATGGATCATATTCTAGATCAGAATTTTGCATGTAACATAGATTGATGCCAACAATCCAGTGATTGACAATCATTAGAAAGCAGTAGAATCAGAAAAAAAAAAAAAAAAAAAAAAAAAAAAAAGAAGAAGAGAGAGATAGAGGAAAAAAAAAGGGAAAATAAAAGCCAAGACCCCCACCAAAGCATTTCATAAAATTTATTTTCTTATACCAAACTTTTCCACTTTAATACCAACTGAGAAAGGGTTTTCGTAGAAGATCCACCTTCCCTGATTGCATTAATAGCATCTTCTTTCAATTCTTTTATTCTTTTTCTCAATTCCACACCTTTTTCCCCTTTCATTAGAGACTTAATCACCTCAACAATTTCTTCCCTTTCCACCAACCCATTTTCATTAAGTTTTGGCCTCACTCCCACTTTGAGACCCTCACTCAGCACAACCGCATTCATTCTCTGCTCCGCAAACAGTGGCCATGTGATGAGTGGAACACCATTCAACACACTTTCAAGAATTGAATTCCAACCACAGTGAGTCAAAAACCCACCAACTGAACTATGGCTAAGAACTTGAACCTGAGGTGCCCATGAAGGAATAACCACACCTTGCTCTTTGGTTCTCTCCAAAAACCCACATGGTAAAAATTCCAACGGATCAACATTATTTTTTGCACTAAGATAAGCATCACTGGCCAAACCACTTGGTGCTCTCACAACCCATAAGAACTTATGATTACTCAACTCCAAACCATAAGCCAACTCATTCACTTGTTCTTGTGACAATGTTCCACCACTCCCAAAAGAAACATACAACACCGAACCAACTTGCTGTTTGTCCAACCATTTTAGACACTCCAAGTCCAACCCTTTTGCATCATCACCACTTTGAACAATTGGTCCAACAGGATACACACAAGGGTACCCCCTTTCTTCATCTTTCAATGCTTCTATGGGACCCTTTTCCATTTCCAAGAAGCTATTAACAAAGATCCCATCAACCAAAAGGAACCGCTGAACCCGGTCTAGAAAGAGTTTGTAAACTTGACTTGATCGATCTTGAGATTGGTTATTGAGATCCCTGCCTTGAATTGGAACACAACCCGGTATCTCAATAGGCTCATGAAAATCTCTGTACTCACATGATGTTTCCTTGTCCAACGTGGGCACATAGAAGTACCAAGAAAGTGTTGTTGCTGATGCAGGGAAGTAAATATAGGACAACAAGTTGAATTCTTGAGCAAAATCTAATGCTTCAAAGGCGAAAGAATCAACCACCAAGGCCACAAAGGGAGTGCTTGAAGTTAAGTTTTTCAAGGCCTCGTGTATAGATGCAAGAGAGAGTGTCACTGTGAACTGAATTTGGGTTTCTATGGCATCCCCTTGTGGTAGATCCTCAGGGTTCACGGGTTGAAGAAAGATGGAGTTGATGTTTGGTGGAAGAGTTTGAAGAAAGGATTTTGAGGCACTTGGGGTGGACCCAAGTGAGGGAATTAAGCATGTGACATGAAAGTGTGGATGGAGATGAACAAGTCTCTTTGAGAATTGAACAATTGGGACCAAGTGGCTGAAGCCAGGACTAGTAACAATTGCTATGTGAACCGTTTTCTCCATTGGAGATTTGTGGCCATCCACACTGCTATTCATATCTTTGCAGAAAAATATATTTTCAAAAAGAGAGGTTGAGAAACTTGTTAAATTTCTATTAGTGCTTTCTTTGTATAGAGCTGATGGCTAAGATAGAAGAATTATATTCTAATCTTGTACTCTTAGAGTCATAATTAACGCGGTTAGTTTTCATTAATATCTAATTATATGTTTATAATTTTTATTAAATAAGTTATATCGAAAGAGACTTTTTTTTGTGTGAGTTAATAATATTTTATAAAAATTAATTATTACTTTAGATATATCGCATGTCAATATTATGATTTAAAAATAATAATAAAGCTGAGATTGGATTCTCCTTGATCTCAATTTTGAATTTTTTAATGTTAAAAATGTAATAAAAATAATATTAAATTTAAATAATGACCTTAAAAAATCTAATTATATTCTAAATCTAAGTCATAAAAGTGATATATTTTTTTATTGAACAATATTGTAAAAATTAAAATATAAAAAAAGCTCTAAAAATTAAATTATTTATTTATAAATTAGAAATATTTAAACATATTTTCAACTGGTACTTTTATTCCGTGATAAAATATAGTTTTAAATTAGAATACACAAATTTAGAAACCAAAGTTTCTCTCCACTTTCTATTACACCTTTTTATTTTCTGCGTTTTAGAAAGCTTAGTGTAAGCGCTGACATGAGCAACTATCAGCCGGCCCTTAACCCTTTATAAAAGACAGAGAGATTCTAAATTTAATAAATGATATAATAAAGTATAACTAAATGTAATAAATGATATATAATTTTTTACTAAAATTAATAATTTTTTTTATAATAAGATTTAATGGTCATAGTGTAAAAATATTTTTTCACCATCAATCAGTTATAATTTATTATTAGTATAATTTTAAAAATATTTATTAAATTATGAAGTTAATAAGTTACCATACATCATAAATTGTAATTATTGGGTATAAAATTATGTCTTTATTTTTCTCTTTATAATATTTATTCCGTAAGTTGGACGGTTATAAAACTAGTACATTATATATGCAGCTCAAGAAGACAAAATCTCTTCTTTTACAATGTTTCTACAACGCTAAAGATGATTGCTGACTTCTACTTCAAAAGATAAAATGCCAGCCACGACTGACTTAAAAAGAACAGAAAATTTTATGCTTGAATAAAAAAATAAATAAATAAAAGTTTGAGATCGTTTACGAGCAATATATTATCCCTTAGTCGACAAAATTTCACCCACCGTTTCATTTTTTTTTCTTTCTATTTTTGTCTATATACTTAATTTTTTTTAACATTAATATCACTTTCAATCAACGCTATTTACTTTTATTTATAAAAAATTTCTACGGTACCCATCATTTGAAGGATTTTTATATGTTACCGATTTTAGTTTGAGTCATTATTTTAATATTAAAATCATTTTAATTTTCAAGTTAGTCCTTTCATAGAAGTTAATAATATCTTTCATCTTGTTGACAGTACACTACACCAAAATTAGGTTTTTGTGGCAATTAATTTATTTTTTAGCGACCATATAAATGGTCATTATTTTTTTTACCAGCATTTAAATAATGGTCGGTGTATCCAATGTCGCTAATACTATTACCGGCATTTATATAAAATGCTGGTAAAGACCTACTAAATTGTCGGGAAAACTTATTTTTTTTAGTGGCAATTTTAGTAGCCATTTTAAAGGCTATTAAAAGTTATTTTTTCAATTCTCTCCTTTCCATCCATTTAGTGACTTTTATCTTTTGCTAGTAAAGCTTTAAATAATTTATTCCTATAATTTTCTTTTCTAAATTCATAACTTATATACTCTTTTTTTTTTCTCTAGTCTTGGCGGTTTCAAACCGCCAGAAACCGTATTTTAATGTTGCTTGTTTTACAGCTTCTGACGGTTTAAAACCTCCACAAAATTCATCTAGATTTTTCCTAATTAAGCATTTCTGGCTGTTTAAAACCGTGGTTGGCAAGGAAATTTTTGCAATTGACTTATGTTTGGTCAGTGAATTATTTATATATGTACATATTAGCATATATACATTGTTTACTTAAAAACCTGTGGCCGAGATCGAGGTTCCCAAGCTCAGCGAAGAGGAGGTTGCTCCCCTTGATACTCGCAGAAAAAGAAAGAGGGGAGAGAAGAAGGTCGGGGAGACCTCAGCCCCTCATGATTCTGAAGAGCTGACCTCGAAGGCCGCCGATGCCGTCCCGGTCGGCCTGACAGGGAGTCCTCCGTGTGAAGGGTCGTCTAGAGTGGCCGTGGAGGAGGTCGCTCGTGAGACACAGGTTTGTGTCTTTCTTCTTATTGTTTTTCTTTCATACTGTGTGATTTCCTTGTTTTATAACTTAGGAAATTTTTCGTGTTGTGTGTAGGCGGGGCATGTGCCGACTTCCACCGTGGCGCGGGTGGAGCCGAGCTTAGAGGCACCAGGGCCAAATGCCTCAGCTGCTGCACAAGTGGCGCCCACTTCAACTCCCGCCGAGGCCCGCAGAGAGGGGCTGAGCTCTGGGGCACCGACGTCAACCCCTGCAACTGCTGTACTGCCTCCACCTCCGCCAGGGGCTCCAAAGGGGAATTGCATCATACAGCGCTTCGATGTTACTCGCCCCTTGGCGAGGCTAGACCATCTGAGCATGTCATCAAACATGGACTCGATGTGGAGTTTGGGGATGACTGTCGAGGCCTTCTACCCGTGAGGCTCACTCCGTCGGCTGACAAGGCGATTATCGAGAAGGTCGGGCTAGTGGAAGGCCTAGACTCTGCGGAGGTCTTCATGCAGAGATCGATCACCATCGTGGACCATTGGAAGCGCAAGTGGTCGAAGCTGCAAGGGGAGCTCGAGAGTGCTAGAAGCCGAGTTCAGCCCCTAGAAGAGGAGAACCAGGCTTTGGGGGCTGCTCTAGGCGAGGCCGTGAAGAAGAACGAGGCTGAGCTTCAAGCTGCAAAGAGGGATCTCGCAAGGACTCAGAAGTCTTTGGAGATTGCTTTGAGGGCTAACGAGGTCTACGCTGCCCAAGTCGGCGAGCTTCAGGAGGTCGCCAATTCTTCTCGGGGTCGAGTGCGCTCTCTTGAAGACAAGGTCTCGGCGTTGAAGGTTGAATTGGCGGAAGCAGTCGAGAGGCGTCTCTGTGACGAGGTGCTTCTTGGTGGTAAGGAAGAGGAGGTCGTAGCTCTGAGGGTAGACCTTGATAAGATGACCGCGGCTAAGGCAGGGCTAGAGAGGAAGCTCGTCGAGACTAAGCGAGCTGTCTTAGTGGATCACAAGAGGGGCTTTGTCAAGGAAGCTCGTCAGGCGAGGTTGCTTGCACCTGGGGTCGACCTTTCTACTATGCATGTAGAGAAAGAGGTGCAAGCTGGGTGGCTGGTGAAGGAAGACGACCTCCCTGATAGCTCGAGCGAGAATACCACTGCCTAGGCCACTATTTTGTAATAACTTAGTTTATTTAGTTCTTTTTTCTTGCTTTCTGAACTCATGCTTTGTATTGATGAACTTGTTGTGTATATAATTTACTTTTCTTATTTGTGGTTTTTGTCTCTCTCTTTTGATGATTCTCGTTTTGACAAGGTTTAAATTTGACCTTCGACTTTAGTCTAGGAATTGATTCTGGGATTTTGGGCTTAGTCATGACCTGCTTTTGAGTTTAGAAACATGTCCAGTATTTTGCGCTTTGAGGCTCAAACTTGGCTTGTGAAGGTTCAATCTTGACCTTTGTTTTTTATTTTGGGTCGCGTCAAGTTTCGAACTCGACCTTGGCTTAGAATGACATGATTTGCGCCGAGGTTCGAATTCGACCTTGGCTTAGTGTAATGTAATTCGTACCAAGGTTCGAATTCAACCTTGTCTTAGCATAATATAATTCGCACTGAGGTTCAAACTCGACCTTGGCTTAGTGTAATGTGATTCGTACCAAGGTTCGAATTCGACCTTGGCTTAGCATGATATAATTCGCACTGAGGTTCGAACTCGACCTTGGCTTAGCGTAATGTGATTCATATCAAGGTTCGAATTTGACCTTGGCTTAGCATGGTATAATTCGTACCAAGGTTCGAATTCGACCTTGGTTTAAAAGAATATAATTTGTGCCAAAGTGGTGTAAAATTGAGAAGTTATGAGTGGAATGGGTCATTTTATTAATGTCGTTGGTATGCCTCGTTAAAAACCCTCTCAGCCAAAACCCATTTTTTTATTTTTTGGGACAAAAACTGAGTCGGGAAAAGAGTGCACAACCTTTAGGTTCTCTTAAACCTTGTGCGTTTTGTGTTTTGTTTGAGTATCTCCATTCATTTACATGTGTCCGTCACTACAAGAAAAATGAGCATTATCTACGGAAAAAATCCGTAGATAATGATGAAAATCCGTAGATAACTGATAATTATCTACGGAAAAAAATCCGTAGATAATAAGGTCGTAGATAACGTTATCTACAGAAAATTTTCCGTAGGTAACGTTATCTACGAATTTTATCTACGAAAATAGAATATATCTACGGATACGTTTATCTACAGAAATTTCCGTAGATAAGTTATCTACGGAAATTTCCGTAGGTAAGTTATCTACAGAAATTTCCATAGATAACTTATTTACGGAAATTTCCGTAGATAACTTACCTACAGAAATTTCCGTAGATAAGTTACCTACGAAAATTTCCGTAGATAATCTACAGAGCACTCAGCATCTCTATTGGTATTATCACTGTATGTTATACTATTGAATCATATCAAAAAAGGAGGTTAAATGGAGTCTAAGTTCCCAAGTAACCTACCCTAGAAACATTATACAATGACTAATAAAATGCAATAAAGTGCCTCTCAAATACAAAGGCAAAATAAGCCTATACAAAGAGACTACTATATGTACAAACATATGAAAAGGTCTTTAAGATCATCCCATTCCTCTTGGTTCTTTTAAGATATCACCTCTTGGATTCCTTGGCCTTGGCCATAGTCTATCAGCTTATGTGTTTGGCTTTTGTGCTTGCAGGTATAATGGGGAGAAGAAAGTGGCGCGAGCTGAAAACCCGCTACAATGTGGCCGAGATCGAGGTTCCCAAGCTCAGCGAAGAGGAGGTTGCTCCCCTTGATACTCGCAGAAAAAGAAAGAGGGGAGAGAAGAAGGTCGGGGAGACCTCAGCCCCTCATGATTCTGAAGAGCTGACCTCGAAGGCCGCCGATGCCGTCCCGGTCGGCCTGACAGGGAGTCCTCCGTGTGAAGGGTCGTCTAGAGTGGCCGTGGAGGAGGTCGCTCGTGAGACACAGGTTTGTGTCTTTCTTCTTATTGTTTTTCTTTCATACTGTGTGATTTCCTTGTTTTATAACTTAGGAAATTTTTCGTGTTGTGTGTAGGCGGGGCATGTGCCGACTTCCACCGTGGCGCGGGTGGAGCCGAGCTTAGAGGCACCAGGGCCAAATGCCTCAGCTGCTGCACAAGTGGCGCCCACTTCAACTCCCGCCGAGGCCCGCAGAGAGGGGCTGAGCTCTGGGGCACCGACGTCAACCCCTGCAACTGCTGTACTGCCTCCACCTCCGCCAGGGGCTCCAAAGGGGAATTGCATCATACAGCGCTTCGATGTTACTCGCCCCTTGGCGAGGCTAGACCATCTGAGCATGTCATCAAACATGGACTCGATGTGGAGTTTGGGGATGACTGTCGAGGCCTTCTACCCGTGAGGCTCACTCCGTCGGCTGACAAGGCGATTATCGAGAAGGTCGGGCTAGTGGAAGGCCTAGACTCTGCGGAGGTCTTCATGCAGAGATCGATCACCATCGTGGACCATTGGAAGCGCAAGTGGTCGAAGCTGCAAGGGGAGCTCGAGAGTGCTAGAAGCCGAGTTCAGCCCCTAGAAGAGGAGAACCAGGCTTTGGGGGCTGCTCTAGGCGAGGCCGTGAAGAAGAACGAGGCTGAGCTTCAAGCTGCAAAGAGGGATCTCGCAAGGACTCAGAAGTCTTTGGAGATTGCTTTGAGGGCTAACGAGGTCTACGCTGCCCAAGTCGGCGAGGTAGGGAAGATATCGTCCTTGCATCTACTACCACTCTCATCCATAATGTCCATTTTAACATTTAGAAATCTCTCTTTTTCTCTCTCTTCGGAGTCAAGTGGAGAGAATGTTTGATTCATAGTAGGACATCGTCGCTCATTTACAACTACTCCCAATGCTCATTTCAACACCTGGTAATCTCTCTTTTTCTCTCTTGCATGGAGAAAATATTTGATTCATGTTGAAACTATTTACATTGTTTGATTTTAACTCAATTCAATACGTGAGACAATTATATTGGAAATCATAGGGTTACTTATGCATGATTTAGGTAATCTCTCATTTGTTTTTAGATTTTCATATTTGACATTTTAATTATCGTGACACACAATCTGATGTTGAATAAAAAGTTAAGATTATTTTTTGGCACAAAATTTAGGCACGTTAAGTAGAAATGGTTTATTTCCTTTCTCTCGAGTTGTTTGTAAAACAAACAAGTTGTTCTTACCGGAGATCGGTCATAGGGGATGATCTGCTAGGTAAGATCGGCGAGCCTCCTTCGCTGGTACGTTTGATGCTCAAAGATGGGGATGGTATCTGCAAAAGAGACTTCAATGCTAAAGTTAGTGTTTGTGGGAGTATCAGTCTCGTATAAGTAATGCATGTACCTTTGTGTGGATTAGGGTTTCGTTGGGCCTTGAGCCTGAGATCAGTTATGACCTAATTAGATAGCAGATCTCGTCTTTGTCGAGGTCTCCCAGCGAGTGTCCGAGGTCGTCCTGCGCTGTGATGTCGAGCTCGAGCTCGGCATAGCGGTACGGATAGTACACTAGCCCCCCGAGCTTCGAAGACCGTAGGTCGAGGAGTTGAGACCGAGCTCGTCAAGGGGCCGTGACCTTTCGCGTACGCCTGCCTGTCAAGATGCCATGTGTCACAATTGTCGTTTCACATTTCGAAATGCGAGGTTGGCGCGTTAATGGGCATGACGGTTGCGCAATGATGGTAGTGCTCATCATGATGGGGCCTCATTAATACGTTGTCAGTTTTGTCTTTTCACTGACACGTGTTGTTACCGTTTTGAATTTGGGAGGATCTCCTTTTCTCTCTCTCGCCCCTTTCTCCTTCCACTTTACTCTTTGCATTCTCTTTTTTCTCTGGCTTCTTGAGCACGCCGATTTTCTTTGCCTTCCTACTTTTGCCATCTTCGTTTTCCTCCGTCGCCTTCTCCCGCAACCGAGTTTCGTTCTCTGATTTTTGTTCTTTTCTTTGTCAAAGGAGTACCAGGTACTTCGACTTCCTTATCTTCTCCTTCTTCTCAAATCTTCTCCCCTTCTTGATGGCTGGTAATAGTGGTGCCGCTTCTTCTGCGCCTGCCCAGGGCAAGGGCAAGGCGCGCGGCAAGGCGATGGCTGCCGGGACGGCCGCCGCTG